GACTCCGATCGTCGTGTATTTTTACAACTCCTCCATAATCCCCTCACATCAATAGTACCTCATCTAATAAGATTTGCTCTGGGTTAATTACCCCAAAATCAGCTCGGCAGTAAAAGATATCTGGGAGTCATCACCCTTCCATGACATTGATGATTTAAAGTTTTTAGAAAAAATAGAAGTCTTACTAGATGAAAGGGATGGAAATTTTTTCTTTCATTTGCTCACAACAAACTGACGTAATTAGCAGGAAAGAGTCCATAATGACCATCTGGAGCTCGACCTCGCCACCAACCTTTATCAATTTGATCCACTTCCGTAATAATATCATCTGGGTTAAACGAAATTTCAGTTTCGTCAGCTGAAAAGAATCGATAATTTTTTTCTTTTTTTTCAACTTCATAGATTCACAATCCGTGAAACTCAATCATTGAATTGATAGCATTTTCCTAACGAGAAACTTAAAAGAACCATGAAAACCATGAACCGTTCAGATGATAAAGCATTTTCTCAGTAAATAAAAATTTGCACGGCAATGAATCAGTGATGCAAACTTTTATTTATTTATATGATGCAAGCCTATCTGTTCAATGCTTGTCAAAAACATTGAAATTAAACATCAACTTACCAGCTTGATAGTCCCATAAAGCTATAACACGCACTCCATGTAATGACTTTTCATCTTCTTCGCTTTCAGCTTTTTTCAAAGTATCCTTCTGGGTGAAAATTCTACTCGTTTCATAAATAACAGAACCGTTTACTCCACCTTCCTGTTGAGTTCTCTTTTTCTGAGATCTGTTCGTCAATGTAACCTCTTCAGTGATATCAATATTGCCTTCATTAGCTGAAATGCATCCTGAAGTTTGTTTTATTGTTCGCTCTGTAGCCACCGGTAGTATTTTACAGTGTTCTGTGATACACTGTTGTGGTTTATCAGACGCTTTCTCGAATAAGAGCTCTTTAACCTGTCTTAAATCATTCGCTCGAATTATGCCTTTTTCATCTGAAACTCAATTTTCAAATGATAAATTATAGAATAATTTTAGTATATGGATGCAAAATAAACATACTCAGAATTTTTCTCACATATCGCTAGTGCGTTCAAATACGAAATGGCCCTTAACATCTTAACATCTTAACTGAGCCATTTTAAATTAACAACAATAGCTGATGAAATTTGAATAGTTCGTCAAAAACTCTTCAAATAATTTCTGTATTTCTTTTTGTGTCTAAGTTACCTGAAAAAATCTTAGTATCTATATTATTTAAAATTTTACTAAAATGAACTAACATATTGTTGCACTCGAAGATTCATTCGATTTTTTAGTTTCTTTTTCCGAACACAGCTGGGCATGTATCCTTTCGCTTAGTTCATTTCTTTCACGAAGAGCTATTTCATTCTTTTCCTTTTCTCGCTTCCTTTCTTCAGCAATTCGATCAATCTCTTGTGCCCTTACTTCTTTCCAGAAATTTTCTCGACTGCTCGTATCAATTTCACTGCAAGAGTACAAATATCGCCAATCTCCGTATGCTCTCTTAAAACAATTTATATGAAATAATGCCAGGACTACAGACTAGCTTAGATGGACTATAGCCAGTACAAACAGAGTAGCTGCTCATGATCGAAATAGCAGGCAACATTATAAACCTCTTTTTAGAAAAAATGATCAATCTAGTTACTTACTTAACTATCATTGTCATGCAATAGCACCAAACTAAAGAAAAATGAGGATTTTTCGTGCTTATTAGAACAGTAAATTATAAATATATCTTTCTGCAGAAAAGCTTTATGTAAGAAAGTTGTACGTATTATGAAAAAAATTAATATGAAGAAATTCGAACAGACTTTTTTGGTTTCACCGGATGATAGGTAGTCCCAATTGCTTCTGGATGTGTAAATTCCGAAATTTCAGTCAATGTTGGCACAGCTTCACTCACACCTGGCAATCTATTGACTACGCGCAATATGCTTTCCATATCAACATCTTCTTCACTTCGAGCAATTAAAATCTGAAATAATTTAAACAAAGGATCTGCATATTAATATATTCCAACCATCATTTAAATTATAAGATCTAGAAATAATCCGCACTACGTCTTTAGCAGCTGGATTTATAAGAATGACAATAAAATATAGAGCATAATAAACAATGAAAAAACACCTCTTGTATTTTTTACCAAGCGCTCTTTCTACCTAGTTTTTCTTTAAAAACATACCACATGTACACCGCGCAAGAATCGTTTCAATTCAGTGCCATGATTGGCTGTTGTAACTAAACGCGACGATGGGACACCTTCACCCTGCTGAAACATACTCTTGTATTCAACTGTGGTAATAAGCGCAAACTTTAAATGCTGGAAGTTACCGAAAAATTAAAAATGTTACAAATGCTGAAAGTTGAGAACTGATCTTAACAATATATCAAACTGTAGTAACAAGGTAAATCGGAAAACTTATTTTTTTATACCACAAGAAACTACAAGTGAAGCATTCTAGATATCAGGTCAAATTATACAAATGAAAAATCTTACCCATTGGATGAGGACGATTTTTGCGCTCGCTGAAGCACCGCATTTGACAGCTCCGATACCGTACTGCAATCTTCCGGCTGCAAAGTTCCTCGACAATTCTTCCATACCGCCATCTGTTCAAAGCATTACTTCCAAAAACGGATATTAATTGTTGTTTCTTATTTTAATGCTATAGCACATATTTGTATATACAGCTATGTACAAATAGTTTGCTCAGTCACATTAGGAGAATCACAATTCAGACAAAATTCATCAGACAACGATAATTATTAACTATGCTTAAAGGTTATCGTAGTAAAAATCACCTCCAGTATCTGCTACCTTAATGATATTCGAATTGCTTTCATATTCCAGAATTGCCCTAAAAAGTTAAAGTGTTATTACAACAATGAAATCTCTTCAAAGATTTTTTTCCATAAGCTTTATATATTCTCAAAGGTTATCAAAACAATTCGTCAATTTTTCAGGTAATGCTGATAATGCCAACCTCGTCTGAAGAGTTATGATAAAAAGTATATATTAATGAGCAGAAAAATTGAAAAGGTACGATATAATATATGACGAGAATATATTACATGTTATTTATTCATATGAATTTGAATCTTCATTTACAAATCTTCGTATGAACTCTAAATTCAAACAAAACTTTAAAGATTTTAAACACATTCACTGAGGTTGAGAGCATAATAAGCAAAAGAAATGAATTAGACAGACCAGTGGTCACAATTTGGTGATTTGAGTATAACATCGTAAGCAGAGAGAATATCCTTCTGATGTGTTAGCAGATTTAGCGTCATACTTTTGAATAACGGATGCTCAAGTCACAACATTCATTATTTTATTACCTGAAATGCTTATTCTGTCTCATCAGAGACTAAAACTGCTACTTTCTCAACATAAAACTAAAAATATCATATCATAAGAAGTGGATAAAGTAATCACTATCTTATTCCAGAACTAGGAGAATTACTGCTAAACATTAGTGTGACTGCATTACAGCACCACTTCAAATGTACTTCCAACTATGGCATCATAATGTAAGAGACTATGTGATTGCATCAACCATATATATATATATATCAATTATATAGTATATATGGCATGGTTGATGCATTATTACGAGTCACGTACCCGTAATGATGCGTCAATCGTGCCATATATACTATACTAAACCGGTTCTTGAAAATAAGGGTGTAATATGTCATGCGACACTTCGTTAGAGATGTTCAGTTCTGATTGCGGGGGAATTAAGGAGTGAGTGAAATTAACATGACCTTTTCGAAATGATCACGCAAGAACACTCATTCATTTACTGCTGCCATTGGAATCGGTGACAACAACGGTTGTATGAATACACATAGAACAGGCGGTAACTGTTACAGGCAAGTTGAACGAGGTTATGAAATAAAATAAAGTTGTCGGAAATCCAAAATTAACCCATTGGGTCACAATATGGTCATGTGGGAAGGAAGAAGCGATGAGAATAAAAGGCACTGTTTAATTACTTGTTAGCTACATTTGTTTCATATAAAAGACAAAGAACAATTAAAAGACAAAGACGTTTATAAGGCAATCTCTCAATGAATTATAGCGACATCAGCAGTGTATAATACTTTCCATCTAATCATCAGAGATATATGATAAGAAGTATTTCTATGATCAAATTTCAAAGAATACATGATAGTTAAATAGAGATTTGTGTAATTCACTGCATTCTTCCAAATCTTTTACACTCCCTACCTATCAATACTATCATCTACAATATCCTTTCCATCAAATTGTACTTCCAAATTTTTGCACTTCGTAATTCGAATTAAATATCACTTGTTTTAATTATCTATCATAAGTTTCAATAATGTTGCATGCTATGCATTAAATCCATTGATTTCCACTATAATATGATAGCGAGAAAGCCAGCAATTACCTATGTGGAATTTCATTTACATTATATGATAATGAAGCATTTTAATCGGAATCATCAATTTACAATCAAAATAAAAAGAAAATAAATCGTACAGGATTGTCACTATAAATAGAATACTGCCAATTTAAAAGAACCTATTACACATCATCTGTGCAACTGTTTCCCAAAGGAAAAACATGCAGCTAATAAATATCTGTTTAAATATCAAGTCATATCACAGCATAGAGAGAAAACATAAAGATAGTGAAAGAAAACAGCTGTATATGTTTCTCTTCTAACAATTTCAGGGATGTATCGTAATAAGCAAACTTAACAATAACCTTCGTTTTGCACTGTTTGGCACGCGTTCGCGTTTCACTTTGTTTTCCTTTTTAGAAGATAATGACAATTAAAAATACATATTCAATTGATCTATCCAAGAGAGGCACAAGAATTGAAGCTAACAAATGAAGAGTGCCAATGACCTTTTAAAAGACTTTGAAAAATGCAAAACAAGAAAACACTGCTAAATATCTCAAGCTATATCTGTAGAAATTTTAAAAATCTGCGAATTCTCTCACGAGAAATACAATAAATATAAAATAACAATAACAAAACAGATTGTGGGCCTATTCAAGTCTAGGCGGCTGTTCACCCCAGTTGAAACCACCAGGTCGTTCATCTACATCAACCGGTTCAACAGGAATTGGGTCTAGCAGCCACTTTAATAGTTGAGGTGTTTGCAAAACACGAAAACCGTTCTGTTGCAGTGGAAACACGTCTTCCAGGAAGAAATAGAAATGACCACATGCTATTCCTGGAAGTATTGTTTTGAAATCGAAATATTAAATCAGTATGTAGGTAATCGTAAATTCTACTATCAAATTTAATTTAATCAAGTAGCTCCAAATATCAATATCAAGGTTATCAAGGTTCCAAAGATCTGCTTCAAAAAACAACTGGAAGAATCAATTGGAAGGATGTTAGAAGTCCTCTTATTTTATCTTAAAAATGCTGGTCTAAATTGCTCATAGTGAACAATTCATTTATTAGAATTGAGGCCATCGTCAATACAAATTTGTAAATACGAGTTAACGTTGCGAACTGATAGTGATCGAGATGAGGAGTTTGTTAATTTAGCAATATATTTCCCAAAAGAATTTTTGAAATTAAAGAAAAATATATCAAATTACTTGAACTTAACTCACCCATGAAATCAACGATAGCATTATTACCGAGGAGCAGCGAGAATAAAAGCAGCACCCACGGTAAGTAAGGAGCATTAAAACTGAGGACACCAAAAAAATTCATGCGTACATATGGATTCCGTCTACTCCAGACGTAAACAAGCATAATGGTAAAAGCTTGCCCAAGAAATACCATATGCACAAAAGTACCACAAATAATCTAAAACATTAACAAACTGCAGAAAGTAGATTTAAATCCATCATTAATAATTAGTATTGTAGAGATTTGGCATATATCAAATAGAAAGTCTGAAATTTCAATTTCATAATACAAATGCCTAGAAAATCTCATCCAAACTAATAAAAAAATGATCGTCATAATTGAATTTGCGTACGCAAAGCGAAACAGGTCAAACGTTGCCTTGCACGAAACTATACTTTTCGAATTATTTTAAACAGTTTTTGTCAGCTCGTCTATGGCAAAAACTTGGAAAATGTTAAGAAAAAACAAATTTCCCAAAATTATTGAATGAAAAAGACAACAAGCGTACTTACTTTTGGCAGGTAATTTTAAAACACTTTGCAATATCTGCTGATTACTAAATAATATCTATCTTAAAGATCAATTACCTGCACTAAGCACCAATATGAAACATTCTGAAAACTCACTTAACATTTCGACCTTTATCACTACGAAAATTCTTTTGAAATATGTAATGTGAGGCTCAGAACCATGTAAATCTTCGTAACAGTTAACCGAAAGAATAAAATGTCATTACTTCGTTATTAACTTTTAACATATATTTAAAACACAGAATTCTTTCAAAAGACGTCAAAGAATCTTCAAAATTCTCCATATTCAACAAAAACATGATCCAAACATAAAGTGATCATTGTGGAAAATATGTTACCATAAAAACTGCTCCAAAAATGAACATGAAAGCGAAGTCAGCACGTCGTCCACGAAACGAACCTTCTTCGAGCATCATGCAATATCGATATGTAAAAATCATGTTGAACAAGAAACTAAACCCAAATGAACCAAAGAAACAAAACGATGTTAATAATCGCCAAAACTGGAAATAAATTTATTTGATGTTAAGAAACAAGAATCAAAAATTCAGCCAAATATTGCATTAAGTAGAAATTAGATACGACGGCAAATAATCTACAAGTGAATCCACACTATTTCCCATTGATATGAAATAATTTTTAGTCAAAAAACATTTATTTAAATCTATTTTAAATTCCAATATTTTACAATATAAATCCAATGCAGGTAAAATTACTTTCTTTTAAACTTGCTCACATCATTTGCTAAGTTTACTTTAAAAAACTCAGTAAACTATACCTCGCTAATGGAAACAAACCAACTAACCTGATAATCATAAATAATTAAATTCCAGTTAAAATATAAATGAAATGGCGTAACAAAATCCAGTTGCTGAAATAAAAACAACTGAAATTCATTACAATTTAAGTTTATCCAAAAAAACCGTATGATAATCCATATGTGATTTCAGAATCATATAGCATAAGGGATGTTAAATTGCTTAAATGTTGTGATGTGTCTTTTTTATACTCAAAGATAAGGTGCATGACTAGAAATGCAACATTAACAAACTGGAAAGAGGAAAAAGAGAAGTGCCATAGAATAAGAAAGGATTAATAGCAGGAACTAATATAACATAGTTGTAAATGAATGCAGCCATGAGGAGTTCGAGTCAATTTTGAAACGAGTAAAAAATTTTTTTCAAAAACATTACAGTTTATAAAACATCGCAATTAATAATTTATATACTTACCACTGCAAGTGTAGTTAAGACACATGCGGTCGTATAAATCCTTGTCACAGGAGGCATGTCCTCGTATGCTTGCAGTAGAGCCTGCATTCTTCCAGCAGTCTCTGTTAGTGATATTGGTTAGATAAGGAATGAATGAAAAAGAACTGATCAATGCGCCCCAGGAAAAATTAGCAGAAGAATACCACCTGGAATCTGTAATCCTTTACAGATATACAAACTTTTTTCTATTTTCGATAATTTTTATTCATTTCATGGAGGAAACATAACATCAATATGAATGGCACAAAAAAAAGGTACTAAGACCGATTTTACATTTTAAGAAATTCTATTTAGATAAGACGTATTTTGTGAAAACCAAATTGTCACTCACATTTTGTGTTTCTTGGATTTCCAAAAAAACTAAATTAGATATATCTTATGTTAAAAAAAAAAACTACACTGGTCATCACGTCCATTCATTCAATGCAACGTATCGTCTATGATTCAAATAATTAAAATAACAAGTAACAATGACAGTAAAAAAAGATCAGGGTGTAAGTATTGATGACTTCGGCTTCAGAAATTCACTTAGCAGTCGATTAACCCGGTCAACCATTTTTGATGAATCTTTCATCAATCCGCAAGTTACCAGGGCATTGTCATAGATCTGAAAACCAACTTGTTTACTTCTTTCGAATTTTGAAACTCGAAAGTCTTAATTCAACATTTGCAGAATATGAATCTTTTGGAATACGAACTTGAATTGCCAAATGATAGATATAAGACCTCCAATGTATCATTTTTATCTGGTAGCGGAGCCGACAAAGCACGAAATACCTAATTCCAACAAGAGACATTTGTTACAGAATCATTTTTCCTTCTAAAGGAATTGTGAGATAGCTTTACTAATAACTTGAAATTTATGCCCAAGTTAATATTAAGCGGATCGTCGCAAGAAAAGTCTCGTCATGTAGTTCAATGAGATTTGTAAATTTTTTTGCATCCTAGAGATAGCAACTACGTCAAAAAAGTTTAGCAATCCTCACTACAAAATTCAAAACTAGTTCAAATGAATCCATGCTTGCGTCCTTAAAACATCTCGGTTTCGAAAAGTACAAAGCCCACTTCTTATTGTAAATACAATAGAAGTGGAAAAAATATCCGTACCTGTTCAGCAACAAGACCAGCTACTTCCGGTTCTGATTTATGCAACTTGATTAGTGCATTGATAATTGAATGGTTCAGATTAATATGAAGAGTTGGTTTCAAAAAGGCTAAATGCTCAATATCTTTGACCTGTCCAACACGAAGAAAATGACGAGCAGCACCCATTTCTGCACCAATTGTGATCATACATGGATGTTCGCTAGCTGTACTTGAGCTCTGCAACATAAAAAAAAAAATTTTCTTCTCTAAAGATTTCGTTCTTGAATGAAAAACAGAAACAGATAAAGCTTTTGATTACCATTATTCATCATAAGTCTAGAAATAAAACTCAGTCTTGTTTTCAATTTCTATAATTTCGTTCTTCCTTAACATTCCAAATTATAAATAGATGCTTTATTACATAGCTAGATATAATATCATGATCATATCAAGACTGACTACCACATGTAGTATTTACTTTGGCAGAGAAGTGATACCAGCAATGACTACATGCAACATTAAAAAACGGCTTATAGCAGAGAAACCATTCAATCTACTTCACATTTATTCCATTGGTAAAATTATCAACGATCTGTATTCAAAATACCTTTATGTCATTTACTTTCACGCTTCCTAATGTAGTTTTCAACCAGTCGAGCAGCTCTTTCTTGTCAGCATCGCGCATTGTTATTGCTATAACAAAAATTTATATATGGTTTTAAAACAAAAAATTCCAACACACGCATTAAGGAGAGAAATTTGTATTGCAGTTTTATCACTAACTTAAAATTTATGGAGGGAAATGTAAAGCAAAAAGATTAAAGCTTCGTAATAATACAAAATAATTCGAATGCATTTAAAATTATGTTTACTTGCAGTTTGCGAGTCACCACCCGCTTCAACACGAGTCCAATTTTCAGCTGATTTGATTGACTTCATTCGGAACTGTTGCATAGCCAGTAAGCAAACTTCATCGGCAGCATCATATACAAAAAGAACTTCCTTGTTTTCTGATTTGAACATCTCGTAATAGGGAGAATGTTCTGCAAGCTGACGGCTGGAAAAAGAAAATATGATCTAACTACGAATGAACCAAATCTTATCAATTTGAATATACTAAAAAGTGAGATTTGGCAATGAGCTTTATTTGCATAAAAAACATCATTTTACTTCATACTGGACTTCACTTGCATCACGTTCTTCGCATACCCCAAAAATTCTAATAGATCACATAACTGAATAAAGAATTTACCTTGGAGCAAACAAGTAAAAAATTTCATTCTGATCCTTTTGCATTCGGTCTACATATTCATTCAAGCTAGTCAAAGTTCCCGCTTTGAGACTTGATGATTCAAACAACAAAAGCGAACCAATCTGCTCCTAAAATTTTGCATTTAATTAATGCAAACGATTTGGAAAAATAAATACCTGATGGAATTCTCCTGTGATGGCTTCTTCTATAAAAACCCTATTCAATTTTTGAAAGTAAACCCAAAATCTCCTACCAAATTAAAATATACAGCACAAAGTAATTTAATTTTAAATATTTTATTTGGAATTAATTGATACTGCGCAAAAAATCAAAACTTCCATTTAGATGAAAAATTAACATTTGGACAATCTAATTAAGAAATTAACTTGTCTTTTTTCCAAAACATGATTCTAGCCGTAACTTTCAAAGCAGACTAAATCAAAAATAAATGCTCTATGAGAATAAAAAGAATATGTCCTAATTCAAAGGAAATTAAACTAACCTTAATGTTTTGATCATTTTCGGTACAAACACCTTCCTTAAAATATAAAGAATAACCGTTGTAGAATTCTTTATATTTTATTCGATCTTTCTTCATTTCATTCACAAAATATGATACTACTTTGTCGGTTAAAATTTGACGCAACTTCCTGAACAGTTTGTAATCAAAACACAAAAATTATTTTAAAAGCTCGTTTTTACTACTATCTAAGATACACATATTTGAATTATTATATCATCACCTTAATTGCATCCGCTTCGTAATTATTTAGAAAGTACTAAACTCATTTGCAGATGATTTGTACACTGCGGTTTTTTGATTTTATGTATTAACCTCTTCCAAAATAGAATTTTCAAGATATGCAAGAAGTCGAAATACAAATCTAGCGATCCTTATATTGTAAGAATATGGGAAATCGCTAGATATTTCGATAAATGAAAAAGAAATATTACACAAGAACAGCATCCATTTGCAGCATTTCGCGACTCAAATTCAGTGGAATATCTTCCGAATCAATTACGCCCACTAGAAAACGCAAATATCGCGGTAAAAGATCTTTGGCATTTGACTGAAATAAAGAATGCATGAGATATGAATTAAAATTCATTTAATCGGCAAATTTATCATTACTCTTTTCCAGTCTGAAATAATTTGACCATTTATATCTAAAATTGTTGGAATTTTTAAACCTTCTCTACTGACTTATTACATATATAACATAGCGGTAGAACACTCACACCGCCACTTGCAACTACTTCAAATGAACTGGTTAGTCAATCATAAATAGTCAAAAAAGGAACCTTTATGAGAACTCTTCGTGCATACAGAGATACTCCGGACTGATCGGCCGAACTGGCAAACTCAATCTGCGATACATTATGAGATGGAACATACAGCAAAGATCTGACATTTATCGGAGCATCTGCCTGTAGCATATATATCTTTGGACTTTGATTTCAAATTTACAATGCGACAGTTTCAATTAGCGATTTAATGCGCTATGTATGTACATGTCCAATTCACTCGTATAATTTTGAATTTTTATGTGTTTTACGATCGCAATGACGAAACGAACATCAGCATCATCACAAAAAATGTGCAAATCAAATAAATATTGAATGAGATTTAATAAAAAAAATAACTTGAAATTAAATAAGTTCGAGTAACCTTATAATGAATAATATATTGTGGCCGATCATTTACTAGATGAGGTGAATGCGTCTTGGCGAGTTGTCGGAAGAAAATGTCATGCATTTCAGAATTCACCTCTTTTGGATTCATTGTCCAAATAGCTTCTACGGTATTCACCCGTTCACCATTCACCGTGATAGGTAAAGTGATAAAGTAGGAATATTTGTTAATCACTTCCACAACTTTATCTTTTTTCGCAAATTCCGCTGCATTACCAGGACGAAGTGTCACTTCAATACGTGAACCTACTGGTAATGAACTCATTTCTTCCACTGAATATGCATCTCCTCTAGAAAATTTACTTTTACCTGTTTTTCAACTCTAGATAGAATATATAATTAAGCAAATATATAAAATATATAAACTAGAATATATAATATCCATGTTACAAATAAATTAGCAAGATAACCCAAATTATATTATTTTATCCTAGAAATGAGCTTTTATATCACTATACGACAATACAAAAAAAATTTTAACGTTATTCAAACATACCCATTCCACTTCCACAAATAACCTTTATCGCTACCTTCTTTTCGCGTTTTCACTACAACATTATTTGCAACCATGAATGCCGAATAGAAACCGACGCCAAATTGTCCAATGATACTTTCTGTAGACACATGGCCCTGCGAAGATTGCTCTTCCATGAATTTTTTTGAGCCTGGAGAGAAAAAGAGTGAAACTGATAGAGAAAGACACAACTTTTTTATCAAATGTAAGTCCTACCATTATATAATATAAGTTTTATACCAATAAGCAAAGCTGAATTTATTATTAATTAATAATAGTTAAAAAGTAATCTACTAATTGGAAAGAATGAGACTCTTCCACCTAATATATATAAACTTCATCACAAAAGAACATCACTAAGATTTTATTAAGAGAAATGTGGCTTGAGAAACATAACTCATGCGAATATAATGTTACAATAATAGCACCATTAAATAGTGGAATGTAAACTGATAGCGGAATTTGAATTTATCATCAGAAATTGAAGTTAATGTCCAACTTGCAAGATCATTAATGCGTCTTCAGGATACTAAAAAAATTTTTGCATTCCTAACAATCTGCAGAAAGATACAAACACCTAAAAGAGTACTGGGGATAAATGGGTACAGTAGTTTTAAAGAAAATGGAAGAACTCTAATGATTATTCACCTGATTTAGCTATAGTTCCCAGACAGTTCACTAAATCTTCCTTGTCCATTCCAATTCCATTATCTTCGAAAATAATCAACCGTGCATCTTCATCTGTGGTTATTTTAATTTCATAAGGAATATTTGTATCTTTATTAGTTTCCAGATGTTTGCATCGTCTCTTCTCCAGAGCATCACTTGCATTTGATATCAATTCCCGAATGAAAACCTTAAAGATCAACATATGATGTATAAGAAACTAGTCGCTTGCATCAGAAAAGAGGAGAGAATTCAAATTTATTCATGCTGAAATACAGAATAAGACTGAATTGTTTGAAAAGAATAAAAGGACTAATACCCAACAGCAAAAAATTAACCTCTTGATCCGAATAAAGTGATTTTGCAACGATATCCAATAAATTCTTTGTTTCTGCTTGAAATTCAAAACTTTCAGCCGTCGTCGGTTTGCTGGCCAATCGAGAAGTGTAAAACAGATGAGCTGTAGAAGTAATACTGCATGGCGACGGCATGAGATAGGGACGACGATACAAACAGCGCAGTAACACTTTTAAACCTCTTCGAGATGCCATTTACCTGAAAATTATGTGAAATCTATGTTTGCTTCAGGATTTGAGCAATACCTGAATAATACCAAAAAACTTCATACTAAAAAGTGCAAAGATAAAAAAATACAGATATTACTCAAAAAAAAAAGTCCTGCAGAGAATGTTAGGTAAATCAAAATACTGAAAATAATTGCATATGGACATGCTGATGCACTAAGCATCTCAATATTACCTATCAGAATACTCCACTTATCTATTTGTTCAGCTGTAATAATAAACCCAAGCGTTAATTCTAAAAACTAAACGTGAGACAATGTTCAACCTTCTGAATCAAACTTTTAAAAATGTCTTGTTAGCAATGTATTTTTTAAATAAATTCAATGGATTTTTCCACTCGATAAAGTACAATCACTCAAACCTTTTTAACAAATTTTACTGGCATGGCATGATATACAGCAAAATACAAAAAACCAAGTACAGAAAAAGATATAAAAATAAACAAGTAAAAATACTGAAGAAGCATAATTTTAGAAGCATTGATTATATGATACTTCCTATATTTCTTTTTCCTGACCTACTCTTTGAATTCTAAATGATTAACACAAACGCGAAAGAAGTACTAAGCTCAAAAAGTAGTGTTTGTGTAACAAATTAAATAACAAAAAATTTCATACCGGATAAAAGTGAAATATAAATGTAAGCATAAAGTAAGCTAAGTCGAAATTTTCAAACCAGATTGTATGGTTTTGCAAACCTCGTGTATTACATCATTGCGAAGCACTTAAATTCTCTTTTGTGTATGATTGATGAACACTAAAAGACTGCGGTACTAAACAGCTTCTATAGCAAAAAAACCAAGAGATAAAAATTTGGCAGTTTAATGAATTAGAAAAAATCTTGTCAAAATTGTAAAAGAAACTATAAAAAACAACCGAACTATCTTTGGGAAATGTGCTCTGAAAGAATTTTAAGTTGAAATCCATTTCTCTTATTTTACTACAAAGACAAATGTGAGGCACAAACATATTTTTCAAAGACAACCACATAAGATCTCTAAGTCATATTAGGTTTTTCCAACAGCCAATCTTGGCAAGAGATCGAAACAATTAAACCATAATGCACCCAAAAAATTTCCACACCAAACGACTGCAACTATTAGTTTAAAAGCCTTTAAAATTCATTACTGAAAATCTTCGGTATTCTACAAGATTTTTACAAAAATCCAGTTTCTAGCTCAAAAACTATTTCATACATTTCATTTTTTTTTCTAAACTAAAAAAGAAACGAGAAAAAAAAAAACCAAAATAAGAGATGAAAACAGAAATACGATGAGTAGGACATGCAGAAAGCTCTGAGCATCTAAGTATCTTCAAAAATAATAAAACGATGAAAAGTGAGGATTAGTCATTTACTATATCTTTACGATATTTGCTGACCCAAAGAAGTATTTTAAAGCTATCCTAAGAAAATAAACATTGAAAACCAAAGCATATACAGAAAGAATTGAAATCACTGCGTTTACTCTTTATCACTGGACTTAATTTCGACAATACCGGTGTCAACGGACCTAGTTACGCTCGTATCAACAGAGATTGCTGAACTATTATTATCATCAGATCTCATTCTACCACTACTATCATCGACAGACTTGAATGCATCATTCGCAGACTGGGCAAGCTGTTGTGCGATGCGGGTTATTTCGTTTTCTGCATTAATTGCATTGCTAACGACATTCGATCGAGAATTCATAGTTGAAGCAAACTGCTCAACGAAACGATAACATTCAGTGCTATTTTCCTGTAGCATCACCTCTATCGACTTATCCATTGACGGTGCACTATGCAATTCCCTTAGAAGGCTGCTTTCCTTCACTGGTGATGAAGGCATACTACCACGATCACTGACACCACAGTCTCTACTCGGTTCCATAGCACCTACTTCTGGTGTTATCACGTTGTCGCCTCCGATAAAATGCTCATTATCGGAACCAACTGTATTAGAAACAGGAAGTACAAATTGCCCTCGTGTTGATTGAGCATTTTCGGACATAAATACAGGATTGGCAATCTGATATCGTACTGCTGCCATTTCTTGTGTAGGACACATCGGAACACTGGTGTCTTGAACGAAATTACTAACACTTTGTCCAACTCCATCAGCATTACTGCCGGATGAAGGAATAAACTGCACTGATGATGTCGATGTTGCTACTTTGTGAGCCACAAATACGGGATTAACCAACTGATATCTTGTTTCCGCAACATGATGAACTAGTGGTGAAGCGTTGGTTTCCTGTAGAAAGTAACCACTTCCTGCCCTTATTCCATCAGAATTATCATCCGACTTAAATCCACCAGAAATACCTACATCAGACCACATTCTACCAGTACTATCGCGGGATCTTATTTTACCAGCAACAGCGCTGGATCCCGCTACATCACCAGCAGAAAAAGCAAACTGATCAGACTGCACTGTGCCTGATCGTTCATTCTGAGACCCAAAAACGGGATCAGCCAACTGATAACATGTAGTTGTTATAGGTTGATGAACTGATGGCGGATTCAACGCAACTGTTTGTACAATCCCATTATTCTAAAAAAAAGCCAACATATGCCGAAAGTAAAAAATAAAATAATTTCGAAAGACATCTTATTAAGGGAAGTGATTGTTTTCTAGTTATTAAAAAAAAAACCTCGCACATTTCAATAAATTCTTAGCATTGTAAGCAATTACTCAAATGAAATAAATCGCAGAAAATTCACCTTGCCAGGAAAACGCTGGTGAAAAGGACGAGCACGCTTTTTCACTCTCAAACTTTCAAGCTGTTGCATAAAAGCGCTATTTTCTGCTTCTACCATTTCATGTGCAGCAGCTTCATTTGTTTCCATCACCTCAGTCGGTGTAGTTAGACGGCCAGATGATTGTTCCGTAAAATTATTTGCTGACTTATATCTTTTTCTAATCCTTTCTTGCCATTTTTGTTCTATAAATTCATCCGACTCCGCTTTTTTTTGGGGATCAGCGAGAGACTGCAAAAATATCAGTACAATAATGTAATTTTCTCAAAGAATGAGTCAAAGAGATAAAAGATTTTTTATATTCGTAGCACTGTCAAACTTCACTATAACGCTCCAAATAAGAAATTCAACAAAACATTAGAATTCTTATTTGAAGAAAAGAGGGATGGATGCATCCCAATTCGAGAGAAGTGTCTATTTTTGTCCGATGAAAAACGATTTGCACTATTAATAAACTTTGTTCTTTATACACTCGAAATGTGTTCCAAGATATAAGTCGCAATCTTATATCCATACTGAAAACTTTGTAGCATCGCCCTTCATTATAAGGAGTTGGTTTGATAACATAAAACAGTAAACATAGAAAAAAGAAAGAATAAAAAAAGTGTGACTTATATTCATTAAGAAATGAGGAGAGAACTCGACTTAAAAGCTTATAAATAGCATAAAAGACAGCAAAAAAAATAATTCCGTATGCTCAGTCGCATATCCTAAAGGCAAATAGCAAAATCAACCAGAATTTCGAATTAATTTGCTGAAATCACAAAACAGATCGGTAATTCAAAAGTAGTAGACCTACCTTACAAAGACTGTCACCATAACCACGATCTAGAAGATGAAGAAAAATACGCCATGGCTCGGGGTCGCCCATTCGCTTCATTCCCGTTGAATAAACAAGCTTGATTTCAGACTCTTTGCCACACTTAAATTACAACCATCATAATTAATCCACAAACTTCTATGAATTAATAACCGAAAAATTCTATAACACTAAGAAATGATCACAAATTGCGAGAGCAGCTCATTATTTCTATATATGATTTAAAGTAAAATGAAAAATAGTGCTTGAATTTTTTTTGAAAAACGACAAAAATTAATAACTGCACACCAAATAATATAGCTCGGTCACAGTAGCTTTAAGAACATTTTTTTCAGTAAGTCCATTTCGCAATTTGTTTGCGTTGATTGTAAATGGTCCATCATCATCATCTTCTGTGGTGCTGGACATTTGTACATCTTCGGATGTCTCTTCGCCAGCAGTTGCACCTTTGCGTTTAGATGACTCATTACTTTGTTCAATGGTTCCTGTTCGCTGAAGTTCTCTTATCAACCTAAAATCATACCTAACTTTGTTATAGAAAATATTAGAAATGGAAATATAAGCAATAAACATTGTCTGGGAGCACGCAACTTAAAACCTAAAAGAGAACTGCGTCCAAATCTTCCACCTAGCTTACTTCTCGTTGAAAAAACTTGGACTACCATATCATTCAGCATATCTTTCAAAGAAAACTGAAGTCGCAAAGCGCCTTGGGATCATACAAGTGGCGAACAAAACTAAAAGCGCATTCTTCCCAAATGAGCAATTATATATCTACGTCTGAAACTAAATTTTAGTATATATTTTCATTTTAATCATTGTTGTTTTAATCATTTTCTTTATGATATAATGTGATATTATAACTTGCCTATTTATTGAAAATATAGTCGGGGTAGCTTCATACAGATTTACAATTATTTTGCCCACACGGGTTGTCTTGTCCGGATACAGTACCAGCCTTACTTGCTCTTCTTCCTTCGACATGGCTCCAAGCTAAATAATTTTCAACATAATGTCTCCAAAAACACACACACACACACACAAAAGTTCTCGTATCAATTGAATGGAACAGTTTGATGAATTGCATTTTGAGCTTTTTCCAGGCATACCGTTAGGTACCACTGATTGCATGGTAGGAAACTGATATATTTAATAACACCTTCATGCCCTAAATAATTTGGAATTAAATGATACCAATTTTTGCATCCGTAAATTCCATTTTATTTTTAGAAATGAAAAAATGCGACTGAGTTGATCGCCAATAGCGACCCTGATCCTAATCAAAGGATTTTGTCCACGTTGTTCAACAAAATAACGGTCAGCTTCAGTTTTCGGCATAAGACATATAAAAATATGTGATGGTAATGGTGACGAGCTACAGCCTAAAAAGAGACAGGATATATCCACATGGAAAATAATAATATAAATTTACTTATTCTCAAAAACAATTAAATGAAACTTAGTTGGAAAATTAGAACTTAATTCTAATTTCAGCCAAATTTGACTTTCTGCTTTATACATTTTTTTTTCGTTAGCGACTTCGATTTAAATGATATCAGCGATCATGTAGAAACTTCAACATACTTGGAAAAAATTTCTGCAGAGAAGGACAAACTGGTGTACGCACTAACACTAACTGCTTTTTCTTTTTTTTCTTCTCGTACGTTGACCTGTAAATAATTAATTTAATTCATTTTCTATAATTTTAGAGATATTTTGCTTAACAGGCTTTTCATAATAATTTGACAAGAAATGTGACAAAAATCCTAGTCTCTGATAATACGGAGTAGAGCAAAGTGGCCAAGGTAATTCCAATATTATACTCCAGTTTTTCAAGCAGCCATGAAAGGTTTCATAGATTACGAACACATAGGATTGCTAAGGCACAATGCAAAAAGCGTATGAGCAGTGTGGACACCTGATTCGGATAGAAATTTGAAAATTAAGATAAGAATACAAACCCTTCCATGACGAGCTGCTGAAACTTGGCCTGATCAAACTTGCCACAAACTCTTCTTTTCCACTCAAATCCATTAATCAAAATAAACAACTCTTTGACATCTCGTGGTATACCAGCCATCAAAGCTGAAATTTCCAAAATATTAAAAATATAAAAAGAATCTATTATTTACTGACTTCTTTGACAAGTACCTAATTTACTGATAAGTATAAATATTGAAATGAAATCTAGCATCGTCAATCATATTAATGTCCTTCGTCGCGATGCCTAACACCAAAAACAATAAAACTATACAAATTTCTACATTAAGTTTTGTAGCATGATATAATTTATTGAAAGGCAAAACAAAATTAAAATTAGAAAAAAACCAACTTTCATCAATGTGGGTTGATGATCTCAGCAATTTGAGTGAATTGAAATAGTAATTACGAACTTGATCTTTGTCCTTGTTCAACTTTCTTCGTGCCATCAATTTTGCCATTTGTTCGAAATCTTTTCCATACTGGAAATTTGAAACACTTATCACAACTATTTATCTAACAGATGACTACTGCATCAGAAGTTGTTGCAGTGTGGGATATCCACAGTATAGTTATTATCAGAGATGGACCATTTTGATTTATAAGCTACGTGCTTAGTCAGATCAAAAAAAAAGAAATTCGCGCTCAAATAAAATTGATTGTTACTTAAATCTAAGCTTTATAAACTCCCGAAAGTGTCCTAACATAATGACAAACGCGCAATGGTTGAGGTCAAGTAGTACTGAGGTACAGTAGAAAGTATTAATATGTTCCAAAAACTTTAAGATAGGGTGTTAAGATACTTTTATCTATTGTTAAATGTTCCGACTGGCTAACAGCCTACTAAACTGGATAGTTCACAATTGCCACTGTATGAGAATTCAACCATCCATTAGCCCAATATATTACTGCTAAAAAGTGCATTGTACTGAAAGACGCAATAGTCAAACAATTGAAACTTACTGTAGACTGAAGATAAAAAGAGATAACTTATAAAATTACTAACCAATTTAATACCCTCGAAAAATGCATTGATTTCCGAGCTGTTCCACTGTTCCCATCGACGGGGTACTTTGTTGATGGTACCAATGGTAGGCGCAGCTACGTTCATTTCTGGATTGGTCAAACAAACAGTATGCTGCGGTGAAACAGAAGTACAAGAGTGAGTATTGATGGTTGCTGTATCGGCAGTAGTAGCATTAGCAGTACTGGCAGATATTTTAGGAAGAGTGGATGAGGAAGTAGTCATGATCGAAGCAGCAACTGCATCTCGAACGGCTATTAAAGTATCCCTTATAGTTGCTGTAACGGTAGTTGTTGAAGCTTGTGAATTTATAGAAAATGGTCGATAAATGATCCGTCGCCGAGAGATTGCTGCAACAGAGATACTATCTCCCGGTTCTGATTTAGCTTCCTCATCCGCTCTTGATTCTGATTGCACTGACATTCAGAAATCTGCAATAATATCTTTTTTTAACGCTTTTTTTTGTGGCAAACTGTATAAAGTATTTCTATTTTCACCGGACGGAAAATTATTGCCAATGTAAAACCAATAAATGTCACATAAGAAGTGATAAAAGTCTGTTTAAAGATAGCTGAAAATTAATGAAAAGTTAAAAAATAAAATAGTACTTTGGATGCACGAAACTTTCTTGTTATATATTTCCACATTATCCTGTTCTTTTTTCTGTTATTCCTTAACTGAGAAATTCAAATAATTAAATGCTTAGTAAAAAGTTTTCTAGAATCTAGATAAAAAGTTATTTGAAACACAAAACTAACTCGGTTAGATTCAACATCCCAATTTTATAATCCAACAAGTGATCCTATCATCACAATGATAAAGTTTGTTTTCTTAATATATCCATAAAGCTTATCAATGTATAAAACATTTGTGTAGTCTTTTATAAATAGAACAGCATAAAGTACTACAACATTTGTTAAACATTAAATCTGAAGACATTACAAATGCTTGATAAATTTTATGCAACTATAATATTAAAATATGAAATGACAACTTCATTTTCTTATTCCTACTTTTGAATAACTTAGATCGGTAATACTGTATGAAAATGAAGCATAATTTAAATTGAATGTTAGGAGCAAAATATTTACTAAAGCTGTCACCGACAAAATTACATCAAAGCGGTTGAATCATTGTGATGATTCGAGTTGTTTTAATCTTGCATTTTGATACATTCTTCTGATTGGCTAGAAATAGATAAATTCAATAAAGTAAAGAAGCAGACAAATTCAGTACAATTCAACAAAGTTTTCAATTTGCAGACCTAGCCAAAAAGAACAGTAGTAGCATTTCCTAATGGTTAGATGAATTAAGCTATAATCAGGATAAGATAGTCAAGGAATCTCTTAATAATAAAGCATCCTGCAAATTATTTCGTTTAACACTACTGTTGATGAATTGCAAAAACTAACCTTAGCTATTCAGAAGTCAAAGTAAATTTTGCTGACTCGAACATCTAAAAATATGCTTCACCATACTCCAATTTTAAGCTGTCTCTAAATTATCATATTGTGATTACAATTCTTGTTTTTAACCCATATAAAGTATAAATGTTAAGCTAAAACTAAACAAAATATTTTGGAAAAATTAACACAAGAAAACCTAATACACAATAGCTTGCTAATTATTTTTCAAATAATAACCAATAAGGTTGAAGTAGAAAAATCATGTAAAGAGGAAGAAAAACACATAAAGAAACGAAGGTAAGAAGCTTTGAGAAGAGCGAAACATAAATCGTTACATGGGGAATTAAATCGAGAATTCTCTGAATCTCCCATCAACTCTTTAGAAACAAATAACACTTTTGAGAGCAAACGAGATTCCTCGAATTTTTCATGCATATTTCTCAGATCACTTGACCATTCCGCTCGCCTCTCTCAGACTATTTCGTGAAAAAAAAAAAAATTCTCAAGATATTTCACCAATTTCCCAAACGCACCTTAACAAACTGCTACATCAATAAGCATTCGTTTCCGTTGGAATCAAAATTTCACAGACCATCGGACCGCGACTACTTTGTTAGGATTAATATTTTAGCTGAAATTTTAGCTCTTGAAAAAATTGAGAAAGAAATTTACTTTCGGGATTGGCAGGGGTTGTGTGGTGCGGAACAGGGGATGATACCCGAGGGGAAGAGGCTCTGGAAGTGTAGGGAATCTCGAAATAGTGAACTGGAATAGATGGGACATTTCCCGAAGGGCAGTATGCAATTACTATGCTATAGAATGCTATAGAGCTTATGTTCTGGAGAATTGGCAGGAATGGATGAAAGTTATGAGTTAGCACTTTTTTAGATACCATAACAAAGACTGAGTTATGTAAATTTCTTTCTCAATTTTTAGATGGCTCTGATTAATTGTGATTTGCTTATTCAAATCGCTTAAATATGTAGAAAGAAATATGATTGAAACATTTACAGATAATATTAAAGTGTGATTGGATGGTATATTAAGGAAGCATAAAATAAATAATTTCTCGAGGAATAGATAGACGGGATTTGATGATAAAAGAGCTGCATATCACTATATGCAATGTATCCTCATAAAATTTTGCTGTTATTGTACTCTTTGTAACATCTTACACTCAACTTTGTAAAAATATTATTTAGAGAACATGCGTAGAGGATTTGCATATTCGAAACCTTCCGATTTTGAGCCAACTGTTCGTTTTCCAACTTCATCTGGATATATGGGTGCCGTACCACCACCAGTTCATTTGACAATTCCAAATGCTGCTGCTATTGTGACCGATACTATGACCAAAGATCTCGAACGTAAGAAAGAAGAACAGGTATATTGTCGAAATTTTCATTTTTCTTTTTAAGTTACATTAAAACGCTTGAGATTTTCGTAAAATTACTTTCAATTTCATGGGTAGTTAGGTTTCCATGGAGCATTTTGATTTGTATTTTTGTTGTTAGTACGATGCTTTGATGTCGAACGGTGGGAAATCCACAACTGGCAAACCTGAACCGCGTAAGAAGAAAATCTACGATGACGAGTAAGTTAGCACTAAGCAAATTGATGGCAGCGTTTTTTATTTAAAAAATTTGAATCAAGTAATATGCGGTCGCTTCAAAATATTTCCATCTGAGTATTATCCTTGATTTTGATGCTTTTCTTTCGTCTAATCCTCTATATGCAAACGTGATTCTTATTATTTTCTCTACTTCTCAGCATTTTTTTAGAAAATTTTTATAGCTCCAATAAAATTTATGATTGAGAATTTTGTAATTTGGACTTTGTTTGCAAAGCATTGCCCATTTAATAGTCAGGTTCACAGTAATACTTGGCATGAAACTGTTGAATGCTTTCATCATGAAATTTCCAGATTTATTTCTTTGTATGTTTACAGGTATTTGGAGAAAGATTCAGACGATGAATTGGAATATCAGCCCGTGCCCGGAAGTCCTGGAGCAAATGCAGCATCCGCTGATGATGGTATTAACGACGAGGAGGATCCACTGGATGCTTTTATGGCTGGTGTTGATAAACAGGTCTCTCAGTTCCCGAATTATTTTTATTTACTTTTTTTGTAAAAAACCCATCAGTTTGAATTAATCTTCACTTATTTGATCATACTGAAAAGGCAAAAAGGGGAAGTGATTTATTAACTTTCTAATGTTCTCTTTTTTAAGTGATTATGCACAGATTATTTATATTTTCATTTTGTCCTTTTTTAAAACGCCGCAGTTATTAAAGAAGTTCATAGTTCTGTCAACATTCCAAGTTAACTTTAAGAACTGAACTTTATATAATTTCAGGCGAAACAAGATAAGGCAGAAAGTGAAAGAAAAGATAAAGAACGATGCTTAAAAGTAGAAAAGGGTGTTGATTTAGAAGATGATGAAACTAAAGGGCTTGGTCGGGCGGATATTGATGATGAAGATATGCAAGAATCGTATTTCAAGTAAGCTGTTGAAATTTTTCATACGTAGTAAAAGTTGTAGTGCATTCGTTCATTTTTATTGATTTCATGAAAAATTGTTAAGGTTTTAAAACTACTAGTTTGATAACTCAACACTTCAAATCTTCTTGAAATCATGATTTATAAATTAGTGTAATACGAAACTTTTATTTATAACAGTGCATGAAAAGATCAGATTGCTGCAGACTCAAGCATATCATCGTTACTCTAATTTAAAGTAATTGGTTGCGAGGAAGCAGAAAAGTACTGTTCCAGATTTATGGAAGAACATAAAACAAGCACACTTGAAGATGAAATATATGAATACGATGAAGATGGTAATATTATTTGGACATGGAAAAAAGTGATCGATCCACTTCAGTCGATTGACCATTCAGCAATAGAATATGCACCATTCAACAAAAATTTTTATCATGAACATGAACAAATAAAGTATGGCTAGATCTTTTATTATTGTTAATGGATTTATAATGTTTGTAATTGTTTTAAATTAATATTTCTAAATTTTGTTCTTATTTATCATGCTTTGCAGGAAAATGACATTTCAATTCTTAATATCTTATTAAAATTGAAAAAGTTTCAGGTCGATGACAACGATAAAAGTATTTGAATTGCGAAACAGTCTGAACCTGAAAGTAGCTGGTTTTAATCCACCAAAACCAGTCACTGCATTTGCACATTTTGGCTTTGATGAAGCGCTCATGAATGCAATTCGAAAATCGGAATACGAACATCCTACCCCTATACAATCTCAAGTGCGTTATGCAAGCATTTGGAATTTTCATTTTATCTTTTGTTTGATATTATTATGGGACATTAGAGTTTTATTACTGTTATTGTTGACATATGACACATTATAAGAATAATTCCATTAGATCTTTCGTGATTTATTATTGAACACAGTGATTAATAAGCATCTTGTATGGTAAAGAAATCATATTGCAGTGTGGCAGAAATCACGGAGTAATACTTTTTCGCCGTTGATCTTGATGCACTGCTAAAACATTTTCCATTCTCTTTTTTGAATGGTAAACAGATGCGGATCATGGGTGAAGATACTTAATTGACTTAAAGCTAATCAAACAGTTAAATTAGACTACCTTGCAGTCTATACCAGCAGCACTAAGTGGACGAGATGTTTTGGGGATAGCCAAAACTGGCAGTGGGAAAACAGTAGCTTATCTATGGCCAGCTATCATCCACATTATGGATCAACCAGATCTGAAGGAGGGTGATGGGCCAATTGCTCTAGTTATTGTGCCAACTCGAGAATTAGCATTGCAAGTAAAATGTTTTGATTTTTTATTTTAAGCCACAGTAAACCGCATTAAATAAACCTTGATTTTATTAGTTAGTTGAATATAGACAGCTTGATTATCTTGTATTTATTTTGGTTTTTTTTCTCAACGTAGGTATACCAAGAAGCTAAACGTTACTGCAAAGTGTACAACATCAGTGTTGTTTGTGCTTATGGTGGTGGAAACAAGTGGGAACAGCAAAATGCACTCACCGAAGGAGCTGAATTAGTTATTGCAACACCGGTACTTCTCAAACTTATTTATTCCATATTGTTCTCAGTAATTTGTAACTCATCCTCTTCTTCTATGTGATTAGGAGTAATCTTTTTGCTTTAGTTGCTTCTAGTAATTCGATTCGTTCGTAATCATGTTTTTAATGGATAAATAGATGGATAAATAATATATAGTTTTGGGTGATAATATTCTTATTTTGGAAATTTGTGATATTTGGCTCATTTTTTTTTGTAGAGAGGGGACGAATACAATACCGAATACTGCCAATTTAATTTAAACATGTCTTCAAAATATTTTTCCTCAGTTCATAAATACTGTGAGTTTTTTTGCAGGGCCGTATAATCGATTTAGTAAAAATTAATGCAACAAATTTTACTCGTGTGACTTTTCTGGTATTTGATGAAGCGGATCGAATGTTTGATATGGGTTTTGGTGAGTTGTTATCAATTTGATATACAATTTTTTCTATAAAATTTCTATATTCTGTTGGTTTTGGATAATCGTGAAAGCAGATAAATAATAGGTCCCACGATAGATAAGTTTCGCAGAACAGTGCTGAGTATTTATTTCTAAAATTTAGTTATTAATTTGCTGCAACAAGAGAGAGTTTTGTATTTTTAGAAATTTTTGTGATTGATGCAATGTAGCTAAAGTTAATCCAGTGTATTTTTTAGAGGCACAAGTGCAGTCTATATCAGACCACATACGTCCTGATCGTCAATGTCTAATGTTTAGCGCGACATTCAAAAGTAAAGTAGAAAAATTAGCCCGAGAAGCACTTACGGATCCTGTTCGCATTGTGCAAGGAGAAGTGGGAGAGGTAAAATTTATAGGAAAATTAAAAATTATTTCGACAGCTCCTAAAGACATGAAGTCTTAGATGAGAATTCAGTTTCATTTGCACCAACCTTTAAATAGGATGAAGTATTATATTCCTATTTTAGCTTCTTAATCAGAGATACGTTTTGCTTGTCTAATTTTTTTACTACCGATTCTTTTATGTTTAGTCTAAGGAGTGATATATGTGGTATTTTTCAATATCCATAATGCGTTTTTAATCAAACATATCTTTTCAAATAATTCTTCAAAATGCTACTTGATATAAAATTTAAAATTGCCAAGTTTGCATTACTTGATTTCTTCATTACAGCTGATTAGAAATTAAAATTTTTTTTTCTGAAATTCAGGCGAATTCTGACATCATACAAACGATTGAAGTGTTAGAAAATACAGATGGGAAATGGCAATGGTTGTTAAATCATCTTGTAAAATTTTCATCAAGTAAGCTCCAGTTGAATCATATATATAATCCTTTTCATTACTTATATTAATCGAGTGCTTAATAATTTTATCATTCCTTCTTCAAGAAATTTTTATGTCCCTCTTCAATTTGCAAACGAAATGGTGCCGTTTCAACCTTAGACGAGTTAGCTTTTACACGTTCGGCAATATGCAACAATTATTTAATTCGTTTAACTGATTTGGTTACAGTGGGAAAAGTTTTGATTTTTGTCACCAAGAAAATAAATGCGGAAGATGTAGCGAATCGTTTACGTGCAAAAGACTTCAAGCCAATATTGCTGCATGGTGATATGTTGCAAGCGGAGCGTAATGAGAAGCTTCAAGCCTTTCGGAAAGATGCGAATATCTTAGTTGCTACGGATGTCGCTGGTAAGGAAAGTTTTTTATTGGGTTATGTGACGAAAACTATTTGATTAAAAGCTTAGAGAATCTTACCAATTTTAAATTCACCTGATTATTTCGTGTTCTCTCTTCTTTGACATTGATGTCTAAAATATTTTAAAAAGCTTGAATTGTTTTTGAATTTGTCGGTAGTTCATATTCTTTTTTCTTCAGCCCGTGGTCTGGATATTTTGGAAATTAAAACAGTAATAAATTTCGACCTGGCACGCGACATTGATACTCATGTACATCGAATTGGTAGAACAGGACGTGCAGGTGCGCTGTTACTGCTACATTTTTTGTTTTTCCGTGCCATCGTATTATATTCACTCCCAATCCATTTTGGTTTACAAATTCTTTTTTTCTCAGCTACGTAGTTTAAATGGGTAATTTACGAGATCCTTTTAACTTACGCTTTTGTAGGTCAAAAAGGATGGGCATATACTTTGGTGCAGGAAAGCGACAAAGAAATGGCTGGACATTTAGTAAGGAATCTAGAGAGTGTCAATCAAGTTGTGCCTGAGTCATTGCTCCAGTTGGCAATGAAATCAGCATGGTTCCGTAATTCTCGAGAAAGAGGAGCAAGTCGACCACAACAAAGGCTTGGATTAGGATATAAGCCAAAAACCAAAGGTTAATAGTCTTTCTAACAATTGAAATTTGCAAAGCTGAAGTGTAATATAAGGATTTTTATAGTCATATAGAATAATAAGAAACTAAATGTTAAGTTACGAAAACTGGGTATTTTGAAACTTTTTGTTCGAAAATCTGAAAAAAATTTGTTGTTCGAAAATCTCGGGTACGGGCTAATTTGAAAAACGTAGAGCTAATGTGTTATGCTTATAGGTCCACGCACAGACACAGCTACTGCTAGCATAACTAGAGCTTTGAATTTTGAAGAAGGTCAGAAAAAAGTGAAAAGTGTGCTCGATATGGCAAAAGCTACTGATGGATCCACAAATCGATTGCAGGCCATGAAAGCTGCTTTCAAGGTTGATGCTAAAATCATGATCCCATATCACGTCTTGTTTCTTTGTATGAATTAGACTTGTTCAAGAAAAAATAGATTGGATTGAAGAAAGAGAAATTATCTGACTTTTGATAATCATTTTCAGTTTGTTTTCACTCAAAGTATGATAGTAGAATAGCTGAATGACACTGAAGCAGTATAGATCATATGTCTCTGTTTGAATAGAATATCTTTACCAGTTGATAGCTGACATCATGATTCGTTTTTAGAAATCTGCCAAAATCTATGTTCAGTTACTTTTATCTACTATCGGGGAATGTGTTATATCTAGTGATTCTGTTTATCCGGTTTAAGTGAAGTATCCAACTCGTTTAAAACCATTTATTAAAAAAAAATAAACATGATGAAAAATTTTGAACAACAGGTAACATTGCAGTCATCGTTTAGTAGTACGTTTCGGCCATCAACTAGCGATGAATGGGCAGCAAGTAGAGCTCCAGCAACTGATCCAACTCCAGAATGGAAAAGAAAACTTGAAGAAGCCGCCGAAGCTGTGAACCGACAAGTTGCAGCTTCGATTAATAGTAGTTTTGTTACTCATGAAGGTATCTTACTTAGACAATGAGTGAAAATAACAACTTTTAAAATTACGATTAACCAAGTTTATGAAAAAACAAATTAAAACGCATTATGATCAGTCAGCGGGTAGTGCATAGTGCAGAGCTTTTATCATCTATTATGCATTGCTATTATAGGATCAATTCTTATCAACGTCTTTGATAAATAGCAATTAAGCATTTTTTTTAATGTTTATCACTAGTAATTTTGAAGGTCCATTTTTGAATTCATACTTCTTTTTCTTTATAGGAAGCTGCAAAAAAAATACTAATACTAGTGATGGCCCAACTTTTGGCAATAAAAAGAGATCACGATGGCATTAACCTACAAGGCATATGTTCAGTAATTATATTGTATTTTGTATATTGATAATAAAAATATGATTTTTGATATGTTGTGGAGGAAACGGCAGAAAATCTTGTAGCAAGCAACTGTTTATGATTAAGCTGAGTTTGGACTTATAGTTATGCCATAATTTTGAACTTAATTTTTTGTTGCAATGATACAAAATAGTTACAAACTGCCGATTGGATTATAGAATTAAGATGCATTGTTTCCAGTTACAGGCAGTATGAATATGTACAAATTTGACGAAAATACAAAATCAGTGAGATTCAAGTTTTGGACAGAGGCTTTTGATACTGTTTCTTTTTTCAACATTTGTTATCCCTCTCTGTAACTGTTGATCTCCGATTGTTTGTATTGTTCGAGATAATTGAAATGGTATGGCTATTGAAGATTTGATGTTGGCTGACAGCATCTTTGAGGATGGGTTTTGTGGTAATATAATATTTGGTATTCATATATTTTTTTGCATCCCATACCTCCGATCCTTTTGGTCCGGAAATCCCGACGAGAGAGATAAACAAAGCAGTGGAGGAGAGAGGGAGATAAATTTGGCCCTGAGAAATGATTACTGGCTTTAACAATGTTTAGCTTTTTCCCGATGCATTTGGCATGAAAGGGATCGGTTAACTTAAAGGTTTTTTTTTGTACTAAGAAGGTCAGGAGATAAAAAGATGCTTATTACGCGGGAAAAATTAATGCGCAAAATAATCAAAATTCGATTTTCCTGGAGTTGCGCTCCTTGCAAGTCTTATTTTTCAACATTTGTTATCTTTATTTTGTGAGTTGGTGAAAAGAAGTTCTTGATGTATGGCGATTCACAAATAGTTTTAACATTTAGTTTCTAATAAAACAATTGGGATTAGCCTGAATATAACTCGCATGACACGTTTCGTTTCATAAATTTACGAGAGGGAGATCAAGTCTCAGTTTTCTAGATTTTAAATTCCCAAATTTCATCAGATATAAAGCTATTTCACGGTTTATTCTCCCTTAGCATTATGTTTTTGCTCTTAGCCTCATCTAGCTCTAGTAAAGCAAATGAAAGTATGTTTTCAATAATTTTGCAACATCGATTTAGAAATGCATTTTGAGTACCTGACAATCTTAAAGCAACATCACATTTCTCATTTGAAATATACAAAATATATAATATAAGTGGAAGCTGCATGTGAGAAAGGAAGAAATGAGAGCGTATGATGATTAAATTAAATTAAATTTAATATTCTAACCTAATAGTTCTTGAAATGGAGGGCATACAATTTCTGGATGATTTGCCATGCATGTAAGCAAATATTCGATCCACTGCTTTCCATGATTTACGAAGTTTTCCGATAAGATTCGATAACTGTACAACTTCTTGACTTGCAGCAAATAATGTAATTACACTCCTAAATTTTTTACTGATAGAATTAACTTAAGAATAAGTTAAAAATTGAGATTTATTTAGAGATTCTTATCAATCATTGATTTCATAATAGATTTAGAATAAAACAATTACATAAATGCTTGTGCTTGATGTTTATATTTGTAATAGCAAATAAATGCTGTCACTGCATAGCAAATAGCTTTCAGTGCAAATCCAAATGTTTCCACAATTGAAAAATTTACTGCTCGAAGCGCAGAATGTTTGCATAATTTCAGTAGTTTTGTGCTTTTCTGAAAAAAAAAAGCCTAATATCATTTTTATCATCAAATCTATTCAGTTAACAAACACATCTTTTATGTTTAGCTAAGGTAAATTTATTATTTTTATTGTTATTAGTAATAAATGTACAGTAGCAACATATTATCTTAGTTCTTGATCCGAAATTTACACTAACCTGAATACGTCGACTTTTGTAACAAGAACTCAATACTTCGAATTCTATTTCGATTTGCACCGAAAAGCATAAAACAATGAAAATAAATCCGAGCAAGGCTATCTGTCAATATACAAACATAATCATTTTTAAATTATTACAAATAAAAATTAAAAGGAAAAAAGAAGAGACAATTAAAACTTACTTCCCAACTATAAATGAAACCGAGAATAATATTTGTTATCACTGAGGTCATCCGTGTTATTAATTCTGATAAATATGGATGATAGAGCTATAACATATAAAATTTTTAATTTATTGCAAAAATTTCCCACTCCACTCTATGTAAATTTCATTTAAGCATTTCAAATTTCACAATATGTATCAGAATAAAAACTGTTAGTATGAAAGTATAATATGAGATATTTGAGAAAATTTTTTAAAGTACTGCGGTATTATGATTAAATGAAATAATCTAAAAGTTATAATTACTTTGACGAATTATTGCACCGAATGATTGAATAATTATTTTAATTTTTTTTTTTTTGATTTATTTACTACTTTATCTGCAGGCTATTTATATTTCTGTTAAAAGTGTATTACCGATTTTGCTTCAGATGTTAGTGAAATATTTTCATCTACCAAAGTGTTAATTTTCGATTCACTAAATGGCTCTTTATCAGCCATTTTTAATAACTGTCGAGAAAGAATAACTCGAAACGATACAGCCATATGTTCCGATGCTACAGTTGTCAATACAGTCTAAAACAAAAAACTTTTCTTTTTTCCAAATTACTCTCAAATCCAATTTGATTGTATATTTATCAGATTAGTAATAAGTATAGTATAATGATCGCAATTTCATGGCTAAAATATACATCATAATTTAAAAGATTTTAAGCATTTAAGTGATATTTTTGCTTAGACTCATTCTATGCTTTATTTTAGCTATAGAAAGTGATTGAGTAGTTGGCATATTGATGTATTCGTTGTATAAATTCTATCCTATTCATGTAATCTTCTTCCTAAACAGATATTACTCTTTACTCTGATACTCAAATTATCTAAAAGTATAAGTTTTTCCAAAAGGAAAAAAAAAAAAGAAAACAAATGAATAAAATATTCACCGATGCTGTTTGTGATATGAAAACAGCAAAACCAATAGCGGATAATTGAATAGCACAAACAGTTAAAATATGAATATTTGGGGTGTTACCAAGCATTGCCATGAAAATTTGTCCCATAATTATATTGTATGCCGCTTGTTCAAGTCCATGTATAATAGCTAAGATGAAACCAACAAGCTAGAAATGATAATTTCACAGCTTATATTTTCATTAATTCATGAATTTCATGAATTTATTAAGATTTATTAGAACATCTTTACAAATTTCAGTATTTTAATTTCTCGCTTTTTAATTTCCATGAAAGTTAACTGATTGAAGTAAACTTAAACTGATTACAATTTAAATGTTATTCTTTTATGAATTGATGTTGTGAATTTATTTAACAATTCATAGATAGATTCAGTCTAATGAACCCTTCGAATGAA